TTCCTCCCTGACTACTTCTTAATTGAGCTGTTTTCATATCGCCAGAACTCTCTGGTGTCTGGACTTGCAATGAGCAATGCATGAGCATCTTTCTCCTTGATGAAAAAACCTTTGCACAGAGTTGCAAAAATGCTGGTATCAAGTTTATTTTTGAACATTTACAATTTTAAATTACCAAGGCTAAAAATCTCTCTAGCACTTACTGCCCTAGATGAAAAAAAAAGACAGCAGGACCCATGTGTTATTGGTGCATTCTAATGTTCCCCTGCTACCACAAGTGTTTTGGCATGCACGTAGTGTACCTCTAATATAGTTTATAATAAAATATATTTTCAACCCTCTGTCCAACCTACTTTATCATTATTTCTCATAGACTAGTGCCATTCCAGTGACTCCACATACTGTTTCTGAGGCTTGAAGATAAAATAAGCTATTTTAGCTATTTTATGAACTTGTCTTACAAAATACATGCTCACGTAATTTTCTGTGGACCTTCAAATAGACAACAAAAATGTTTAAAAAATATGAAGGTTCTAATCGTGAAACAGTTGTACACAGATATCTCATTGTTACTTTGGGATAGCCCCCATCTAGAAGAGCTTATATTGTACAGCAATGAGGAAACTGGAAGGAGAACGACATGAAAAAATAAATTTAAAAAAGAAGTAATTCCAATTTTTTGAGGGAAGTACAGCACTGGTCTTCCCTTCCAGGCAAACAGTTTGGCAAGTGTTCTTGATTGGCCTTTATGCAGTTTTGTGTCCATGAATAACCCAGAATTTTTTGCAGTTATTTGTAGTTGCCTTGTATCAACAAATCAAAAGTGAAGGCAAATAACATGGCTGAATGGTTCCTATTTCTTTTTAAACCATCTGAGAAGTCATGAACAGAACATCTAAAAGAAACTGAGTGACATCTGCCCCTGAGTGCGGTTCATAACCTGCGGGTGTGACCAGCACAGACTTCCTGCAATATGTCACAACTGATCCAGGAGCACTTCACATTCAGTCTCCTCTGGTTTCAAGCCTTTTGCAAAATGTCAATTAAAAATACATATATTTATAAAGTGGTTAGTGTTACTAATGCCTCAAAAATAAAAAAAATCTATTAATGGAGAACGACAGTAAAAACTGAAGCAGCAGTTCCATGCTTTTTTTTTTTCTTCTTTTTATGAAATAGCTTGTTCATCTGAAAGCATTCATTCCCTTTACCTTTCAATCACCAGATTTCATGGTTGTGTATTACCTTCACCCAGGCAAATGTTCCCAGCAATGTGTATGTCTGCTATAACTGATTTTGAAAGAAGACCGGACATGCAAATTGCCATTCACTTTCAGTGGATTATCTAGACCCAGGCTTGCTATACAAGAAAATAAAAAGTTGCCTCTGATTCTACCACATATCAAATAAGATTGAGAATCTAATACACAATGCAGATTCACTGTGTTTGATGTGGGTCTGTATGGAATTCAAACATACATTTTCTCAGTGAGGGTGATTTCTCTTAGTTCATTCACAAGGCTCCTCTTTTCCTCTGCATTGGTTATCAAATGACCATTAATTGTACCACAGTCTCCAGTATTAATCATACCACAGTCTCCAACATTAATCATATTGGAATTTATACTGGCATGGGTAACAAACAAATAAGCAGACAAAGTATATGAAGTGATCACTTGGAGTGATGCTATTACAACTTTCCTAGCTATTGAATAAGATGAAGCTACGAATTCCAGCAATAAAGACTCAGGAAACCTTGGCATTTAGCACACTATACTGTGAAGTGTATGTACAAAATGTACATCAGCTTTTATTTTTATTAATGTAATATATTAGCTATGTAAAAATAGCTAAATAAGCTATAAATAAAACGGGCTTTCAGGCTAGAGCTGCTGCTATGACTGGAACTCATTCTGCTAGCAGGGTGTAAATTAGGATGTCAATGACCATTCCATACTTTTGTTACTCTGTGCCTGGGAAATTGTAAAGAAAAATCACTGGGTGGAACCTGAAAATTATGCAAAATGTATCTCTTATGCTTTTAATAGTACTCTAAAAATCCTTTTCATATTTATGCTTTTAATCTGGTGCTCAGATTTGAGAAAGGGCCTTCTCTCTGTTTCGTAGGGTCTCTACACTGGGAACTGCATGTCCATGCCTGGAACCCATAGATGTTACAGTATTTCATGGAAGTACACCAAGTACTTTAGGTTGTCTTTTGAATTGTTTCTGGACCTTGGGCCTGCTGAAGGCTGAGATATATTTACCTGGCTACATATCTCCTGGATTAGACCTGACATACCCAGCTAGTCTGGAATAGAACATATTCAAGTGGATATACTAAAAATCATGGCGTTGTTTTGAAGCACATCCCCAGAAGGACCAGATGAAGGTTACCATCTTACGCTCAAACAACAAAAGCAAGCATATGCTTAAAAATTAGTGATTTTTATATAGATATACAGGGAGGGGAGGGGAGGGGAGGGGAGGGGAGGGGAGAGAAGGGGAGAGGAGAGGGGAGGGCAGGGGAGGAGAGGAGAGGAGAACGTGAAAAAGGGAAAGAGAAAGGAAAAAAAGAAAAAGGAATGGGAAAGAAGAAAGAAAACTCAGCTCCAATAACCTCTTTGCAATTCCTAACATTTACATTCACCACAGTTTAATGATAAATGCGCAGCATCATGTAGAAAGTTATGCAAGTAAGGCAGCAGCTGAGCCTGTCATCAGTGCTCAGTAGTTGATGCAAACACAGGTACAAATTCACTCTGGCAACCAGTAAATCAGACCATTAGGAAAGCTGCCTTTGCAACCACTCCACTTCTGGGAACACAAAAATCCATACCAACTTAAAAAAAAAAAATGTTTCATTAGAGCTCCCAATGCTTTATTTTAAACAAGAAGAATAATCTGTAGGATAGGTAGGGATATGCAACTTTGCAAAATAACTTGCTCTGAGGGATTCAGCCTGCCATTGTACAACTGATCCTTACCATGCAGAGCAAATTAAGATTACATTGATAGCTGCCGTGGTACAACACCTTTGGCAGCTTTTCATCCAAGAACACATTTCTTGTTTTCCAGGATTTGCCCTCACCTACAACACATTTTGCTAAGAGTAATTTGAAATCTGTGAATGTGATGATAACCTAATCACTCAAATCTTTAGCAATGAAAATATGGAAAAAAGGTTGTTGTATAAAGAAGATAGCTAAATAGAATGGTTTAGTTTGACAGAAATAGAAAATATGACTCAGACAAGGAAAAGAGCTCTTTGCCCTTTAAAAAAATTACTCTTGTTCTTCCTCTTTCTCTAGCAGAAGAGCTTTTCAGGGAGAGTCTGGTGATGCTGCATTATTGATGTGATACAGGTCTCCAGTGGAAACAGATGTGATATGTTTGGTTTTCTCTGATAGTCTGTGCTGAACACAAAGCAAATTACTGAATGTCAGAAGACTCAGGTTCATTGAGACTGTTCAAAGCACATGTTTAAAAGAAGTTCTTAAATAATAAATCTTAAATTTCAAGCCTGTTGCATAACTAAAAATTATATATGTACTAATAAATGTGTCCCAAATGATTTTGCTGAGACAAACTGCAAATGACATTAAAATGCATATGTGCAGCTTTAGGATTTGTTTGTTCTCAAACCAGGCACTGATGGTTGCAGTGAAAGACAAAAAATAGCATGGTCTGGGTGAACAAAGAATGGTAGAATTGTTGAGGCTGGAGTATATACAATTTAACTGAATGTGCATAATCTCTCTGATGATTTTTCCCAATCTGTGTTGTATCCTTTAGTTTTAAAAACACCATTTACACCATAACAATTTTCTTTATTGCCCTTCAGTTTCTGTCAGGCTATTTTACCCACAGACTTTCCACGTAAGAGGTCATGTAGAGGTAGATGAAAACTGGTTTTGCGCAGGCTAGGTCACAGTCCAGCTTCAAAAGAATTCTAACACTACTGTTCAAAAAAGCAGTTTTTTAGTCTATCCACCCCAGTAAACCCTGCTAGGTACATTAGGGAGCAAACCCAAGCCACAGGATGAGTTTTCTGTACTTACTGACATAGCTACCAGAGATTTGCCTTTCTAGATCACGGTGGACCTGTAACAAGACTTGACTAAAGCAATCAGTAGCAATCTCCTCCTCAGAATAAGTGCAGCAGTGTGACGGGACGTGTTAGATTATGTCTCACTTAGGTGATAGCTTCAATTTAATCGGTTTTCACGAAGTAACTCAAAAGAGAACACTGTTTCCCCCGTCTCTGCTGAAACCTAGAAGGTCTGGGTGACACCACTGATGGATCTCAGCTGCCACTTTGTTCCTCGTCCTCTTGCTTCACCTTTCCACCTGCCTCTTGACTTTGTCCCTAGGCATTACGGCAAACCTGGGTAGGGGGGGAAAACACCAAAGGCGAGGTAGCCGAGCCTGAGGCTACCAGGACATTACTTGGAGGTGGAGAGGAGCCCGAGGGTTGTCGTGGCGATCGGGGCGGGGCCGGCGCGGGCGGGGCCGCCGGGGCGTGGCGGCGGCGGCGGCCGCAGGTGCGCAGGTGGCGGGGGTGGCGGGCACGGCCGCCCTGCCGCAATTTCCCTGTGTC